TTCTCTCTCCGTCTTGCAGAGCTCATTAAAGTCTATTGCAAACTGACTTTACTCTCTGTTGTTCAAGATCTGAAAATAGAGAGTTTGAATTTGGATTTTTTGCAAATTAGCTGAAAATAATTATGTAGGTCTTGGTTTCCTTGGATCTTTCTTGTCTCTTTATCGCCTGTTGTTTTTGCGGGATTTCCGATCTGGTTGTCTTCTACATTACGTTCTTTTCTGAAAAATAAAACAAAAATTGTTTTCTCATTGTTTCTGAATGAGTGAAAAGGAGCCATTTCAGCGAAGGAGGTCCAAGATTACGAGCTTAACCGGTGATCTACTTGGTTCGACGGAACCTGCATTCCGCGAGGTCAGTTCTTTTTCCTTTTTTTCAAATCTCCGTTGTTTGTCGAGAAAATCGAGGAAAAGAGGCACGTCATTTTGACATACTTGTCTTTTTGGCTTGTGAGAAAACGACATCTGTCGAGTTGACAAGTTGTATTTGGGTAGGGAGGTTTTAAATTTAGTTCTTTGAAGTTTCTTCTTTTATTGCATTCTCTGGCAACCAAACAGAGCAATTTCCTCTACTGGTCTTTTAGCAGCCAGAATAAAAGGAGAAAAAATGTAAGTTCAAATGCAAAATGTTCGATGACGACTTTTGCGGAGGCTTTGTAAAATTTTGGTCTGAGATACTGAAAATCCTATAAATTATTGTTTCAAGTTCTTTCTTGAATTTGCTTTGTAACCAAACAGATTTTATTTATTTTTCTTCCTTTTTTCTTAAAGTTGTGCAATGTGGAGGTCAACAGCTAAGCTCGTGTTCTGGTTTTGCTTTGCTTTTGTTAAAGCGTGTTGTTTGACAGCTTCTTAACCTTTAGTAGTGGTATCAGCATGATTTGGTTGCTTTTTTAGAAATTTAGGGTTATGATGAGATATAATGCAGTCTGGACCGCTGTTTCTGTTGATTTTATTTCGCATAATATTTTAGAGTAAAGCTTGATGAAAAGTTTTTGTTTTTCTTTAATTAGCTTTACGAAAATACTGCAATTGATTATTTCTGTATTGCTGATAATTAGATTTATTTTTGGGAAACATAATTGACTCGTCTATCTTTTTTATTTACCCAGGAAAGAGACAGCCCAACGAAACGATTTTTTTCCAAAATTGGCCTCTGATTCTAGTTATGCAGTAGTGATACAGAAGATGATTCGGTGCGCCGGTTTCCTTTTTCTTATTTTTTATTTTGTCAAATAAGTGTTTTGATACATATTAGTTAAGAGATAAGCAGTTCTGCAGCTTCTTTCGTACAGAGTTTCGTTTTATTACTTTAAATGTTATTGTGATTCAGTATTAAACCTAAGCATTTTTACCTTGTAGCTGACATTTGAGGTGGGTTGGAGATCTTCAAACAAAACAGAAGACCAATTAAGAAGTTGTTAGCAGAAGAGATGTCAAGAGAAACTCAATCCAAGAGAAGATCACTAGTGTAATTGCTAGATTGAGGGTTCGATGGTCTTCCTCAGCAGTTACTCATAAACAACAGAAAAGGTCCATGGAGAATTATCAAATGAGGACAGCATCAGTAGAAAGGGCTCAGAGGGTGGGACATCTTCTGGCCGCTTATCTTTTAGGAAAAGCTCAAAGGAAGAGCAAGAATTCAAGGATGTGTTTGAAGTTTTAGATGCATCAAAGATGGAGAGTAGCAATAACTCATTGCCAGAGACTTCAAAGACAAAGTTTACTGAGGCTGAGATGGTTTTTATTAAGCAGAAGTTCATGGACGTGAAGCGTCTTTCAATGATGAAAGGCTCTTAGGATTCAAAGGAATTCCAGTGATGCACTTGAGGTGCAGACAACAACAAGGATCTTCTGCTGAAATTTCTTCAGCAACCTGATTCATTGTTCACAAAGCATATGCATGATCTAGGTGCCCCTCCCCAGTCCCATTGTGGTCATATGTCAACAGTGACATTATCTCATGCTGGAATTGTGAAAGCAGTGGCATAAGTGGGAAAGCAGAAAGAGAAACTCCAGAAGAGTAATTGCAATCTACTCAGAAACATCTCGATGGTGTCCTAGTCACACTTATGGTAGAAATAGTGCTAGAGTTTCAATAAGTCCGCAAAAGTTCAATTGGCAGTGAAAGAAGACCCAGCTGTTTCCTACAAGGATTGTTGTCTAAAACCAAATCTTGGAAGCCACAGGCTGCCATCAGAACTGTTCATCACCTCCTCATCTTGTCCGTTAGATTTTAGAAAGCATGCAGAATTTCAGGCACCAAAAATATGGAGGCAGAGTCATGGGCGAAGAGAAATTAATGATGATGTAGGATTTTCGAGACATAATTCTAAAGAATCAAGAGAAACGCCAAGGAAACACTAGGAAGATGAGAAATAGTTTTAGCAATGGTTCCATGAATTTTTCAACTTCCGGATTTAAAGGATATGCGGGGGATGAGAGTTCAAGTAACATGTCTGGAAGTGAGTCTGCATGAGTCAGAGTTTAAAACAGTGACTTCCAGAGATGAGTTTAAGAGGCATAACAGATTCAGGTCTAATCTTCCCGTTCAGCAGAATCATCGTGTGTAGGGAGGCAAGAAGAGACTCTCGGAGAGGTGGAAGAGTCACAAGTCTCAGGACTTGGGAGTTATTAGTAGGGGCAGCACATTGGGTGAAATGCTTGCTATTCCTGAGGGGAAGTGAGGCCTGCAAATTTGGATGCTGTGGTTGGTGAGGAAGGATTCATACATTTTGCAGTGACAACAGACAGGAAGGTTTGCTGGACTCTGGGTATTAGCAGTAGGGGATGGATGGAAGGATGATGGTGTTAGAACTTTATAAGATCAAGATCTCTTCCAGCTTCTTCTACCTTTAGAAGCTCAAAGCCAGCATGCGGCGTGAAACTCTTGATGATGACAGGTATATGATGTCAAAAGAGACTGTGAAGCGGGAAAGAAACAAGGCAGGGAAGGGAAATTTAAATCAGAAAGATGGTTATTGGTTGAACATCAAGATCAAGCAGTAAGAAATCTTCACCTGCACAAGTAGGGAGAGTTATGATAGCTCACCGGATATTTCTTTCAGCCATCATCAATGACTGCCATTTCAAACAGGTTCACCCATCTGAAGAAAGTTTTTATGGTTTCAGAGACATATGAGAGTACGTTACCGATACAAATTCAGTTCCTGAAAATGTGTTGGATGTGGGACATGAGAACACAAACATTTCTTCATCTGAATCTCCAAATTCAGAATTATCAGCTCCTCCTTGTTGTAAAGGGCAATTCATCTGCTGTGACTTGGATGTTTTAAGTTCAAAGGTTAAAATTTCAACCAACCTGAATCATCTTTATGTTAAACAAAGCTTAACCGTAAATAATTGATATATGTAGTGATTAGACTATACCTTTTCAAATATCATAATTCATAATAAACTGATTTGAAGCTTGAATCTCTTCTATATTCACACATATAAGTCTCACCATAAATTTTTAAACTGCATTTTGAATTTTGTGAGCAATTTCTAATAAACCTTTAGTTGTGCCCGTCTCTCTTTCTGCTCCTTGAATAGGATTGTGGTCAGTTTAGTCTTTAGAAATAGATTTGTGATCAATGATAACCCTGAAGTTTCTATCTTTAGTTTCTCATATTTAATGTAAATTAATAAGGAAAATTTTCCGAGCTTTTGGAAAATATGAACATACAGCGTATGTATTTGATACTTACTCAAATTTTATATCTTTATGTATCTGTTTTTGCTCATTGTTAGAAGTTTAAATTTTTCCTTGAAGAAATCTCGACTTAAATTTTGTGTGAGGTACCTTTTATATATTCTTTCTTGATATTCCAGGAACCATCTGAGCACCATCCAAAGAAGTCCCTTTGCATACCCTATATCTGGAGTAGATTCTCCAGCAAGCTCTAGGGAGGCTGATCAGCCAGTCCGTTTCAATTCTAGAAGCTCCTTTTGCAGATGATTTGTCATGCGGTTCTGATACATTTGGGGGTGTCAGTGCCGATCTCCATGGTAACATCAAAATTCTTTAGTAGGTTATGCTTTGAAGTGGGGTTTTCACTCGTCTTAATATGGAAACCATGACATTTTAATTTCCACATTCTTATACATTAAATTGATTTAGATTGTCATTATTTGGAAAGGATAATTAGCCACTATTACTAGATTTTATCAGCTGATTATTCAACTTCAATGTGTCACTCCCTTTCCCTGTAATTGTAATGTTGTCTTCTGTTATCATTTGCATGGATTTTTATTTATTTTCATTAGTCCGGATCAGAACCCTTGAGAGTTGATCAGGCTTCTTGAGATATGCAACTGATTCAAAGCGATTTGTAAGATTTATTTATATAGAGTGAATTGATAAGAAAATAGTATCATATAGTCTGATTTATAACTAAATTCAAGTTGATAAATGTGTATTAACAACAGAAAAATCAACAATTAAAGCGGCAAGAATCTATGTGCATATTTATTAAAATTCAGAAGATTAAAATAACTTTTTGTTTTGACGAAAGATCTTATTTTGCGGTATTACTATTGAAAATGCTCATCGAATTGGTTTTAGATTGCTTTTTGATTGAGTGTCAATCAGTTTGCTCTATTAGTTAAAAATTCAGTGTGTGTGTGTGTGTGTGCTTTCCGAGCTTATATTAAAACTATAATCGAGGAGCAAAACTGTAAAAATTAAAAACAAAAATTATTTTATGCCAAAGTTTGAAGAAAAAAAAATTAATCAAATCAAATTCATTATAAAAATTATCTTCAATTTTATTAATATATTTGATTTTTTTTTTAATAAAAAAATGATTTATCGAAAAAGAAAAATCTTATTATAGTAGTTGGGTTTCAACTAAGACCCTGGAACTTGAGCTGCACCCAATTCTTGCATCATAAAGGACTAAAGCCCAACCACGTAAGATCAATGCAGGCCGATTGCCCAACTTGTAAAAACGACATCGTTCTAGAGCAATGAAGAACGAATTAAGCTTCATGATATTCCTCTTTTCTCAAGGGTTTTGAAACTTCTCTTCCCCCTCTCTGTTTTATCTTCATCGACATCAGGGTTTTAGCCAACTTCTCCTTCTCTCGTAACTTCAATGGAATCCCTTGCTAAAGTACACAGCCGTCACCAACCCCTTTCTCTTTCTCTCAATCACCACCATCCATCATTCTCTAAACCCATGTCCTCCCTCTCTTTCAGAACAAGCACCCCACCGTTCAAATTCTCCTCCATCAGAGCCTCATCTTCCACCCATCAAAACCAAAACCCTAAGCCTTCCCTCCTCCAAACCCTAAATCCACTTGCCTCTTCTCTCGTCAAAACAGCTTCCATCACTATTGCTGCCGCCGCCGCATTACTCTTAACGCGCCTCCACCACATTAAGCCCGCAATCGCGTCCCCAATTGCGGCCCCCGCGGTGGGTTCCACTGCCGAGTCATCGGAAAAGACCGAAGATTATTCGGTCGAAGAAAAAGAGAGAAATATTCAGCAGCACTTGAGTGAACACCCTGACGATGTTGAAGCTCTTCGCTCGCTGATGGAGCTTAAATTGAAATTGCGTAAGCTACCGGAGGCAATTGAAGTTATTGACCGTTTGATCGAGCTCGAACCGGATGAATTTGAATGGCCGTTATTAAAATGTCAAGTTCTGAGCTATTCTGGGGATTTCGAGGCGGCGGCGAAAGGGTTTGAGGAGATATTACAAAAAGACCCGATTCGAGTCGAGGCGTTTCACGGGCTCGTGATGACTTATGAGGATGCGGGCTATAAATTAAAGGACTTGGAGAAGAGAATTGAGAGTGCAATGCAGAAATGCAAGAAAGAAAACAAGAAGTCTGATTTAAGGGATTTTAAGTTATTGATTGCTCAAATTCGGGTAATGGAGAGTAAGCATTCAGAGGCCTTGAAGGTTTATGAGGAGCTCGTGAAGGAAGAGCCGAGGGATTTCAGGCCCTACTTGTGTCAAGGGATTATATACACTTTGTTGAAGAAGAACGATGAGGCCGAGAAACAGTTCGAGAAGTTTCGAAGGCTTGTTCCGAAGAATCACCCTTATAGAGAATATTTTGTTGATAACATGGTTGCCACAAAGCTTTTTGGGGAGAAGGTAGAAAGAGAGGGCGCGGGATCGAGGAGTTGAGAGAAGTGGCTTGTTCTTGTTCATCATCTGAAATGAAGACTACTGGTTTGTTAGTGAGGATCTTTCTTTTATATTTTTGTTTCTTTGGGCACATTAAGAGCTTGTTTAAATTAAATTGTAGGAATTAGTGCAAATCGTCCACATTTTGAGCTCTGTGGAGATATTACGGACGATAATTATTTATAGTTTTTTTTTTTTTTTTTTTCATGTAGAAACAGTTAAATTGTTAGTGTTTTTGCTGTTCTCTTGTGGTGCTGTGTACGTTTACAGGTTTAATGTAATAATATTTAACTGGAGCTCATATGGATACTGCTTCCATACTATGTATCTCACTATTAAAAATGGTTGCAATTTGGAAGGTTTTTCTCTCAATTGTTAAAGATGCTGAAAATTTGTAACATCTGTATTTTGAGTGCTTAGTCATTTTATGCGGCATTGAGGCTGTAGTTTGTTCAATGTTTTCTTATGGACCGGCTAGTTGTAAGAGCATCTGTTTCTGTGATGTTTGGTCGTTATATGGAGCAAAGATCCTTATGCCATGCAGCTTAACTCCAATAGTTTAAATTGCTGACACAACAACTTGTGCATCCCATTTTCATTATTGATCTTATAGCCCTGGTGCATGATCTCATTAGTTTTCAATGATAATGTATTGCTGGTTTTGGTTATATTTTAAACTTGTGATCGGTTTCCAACCCTTAAGCCAGTACCTTGTGCCATTGCCTGAATTCCATTTTGCTTATTTGTTGTACAAGATCTTTTACTCCATTGGTGAATCAGATATAATATCCTATTCTTCTATATAGACGTCTTCCTTAAGTTGAATTTAACAAAGAAAACCTTAACATTAACTTGCTAGGTTAGGAGTAAGTGACCACAATTCAGTTCCTCTTAATGATAAGAGTAATGCTATGCTTAGTCACGATCTTACTAACCATCTTACTATCCTTCGTTAAAATTACATATGGTATCCGTACTATGCGTATAGTACCCGTACTATGCTTTATATTTACACAGGATAGTAAGATCGTGAGTAAGCATAGTATTATTGTAATGATAATTATTTGCTTTCAAGCATGGTGTCTTGTATGTACATGATCACTTTTGGGATTGTTAAGAGAAACTTATTTTACAGCAGCTTCTAGAGAAATAACCAGTGGATTTTTGCTACTGTGCTTGTTGTTGGGCTGCTTTATTGAAATGGACAAACTGGCCAATAATAGGCCTATTGTTTTTATGGTTTGCTCAATTCGAAGTTTTCCTGGTAATGTCAGGGTTTCTGAGCAGCTTCTAGAGGAATAACCAATTGGTTTCTGCCACTGTGCTTGTTGGGCTGTTTTATTGAAGTGGACAAGCTGGCCAATAGTAGGCCTATTGTATTGATGGCTTGTTCAATTCAAAGTTTTCCTGGTAATTTAGGCAATATGTTTTAATACTAAGGTTTCCTGCAATTTGCAGAATTTACAGAGTAAGATTTACGGACTACTGAAGAATCACTTCATTTTTTCCTGGATAAAAGTTTCAATAGGCTACACTCATGCCTTGGGCAAGGAGATCTCACACATTATTTCTTTCTTGGAGCTGAATAGTATTACTTTGTATTGTGTTCTGTTCTACCTCGAACAGTGTTACTTTGACTTCTTTTATTCATTTGGATTTAGGTATTGTCTTAGGAAGTAATTGTTCTTGATCATATGATGATTTTGGTGTTTATAATATGATTTTTCTGTAGATATTCATTTAGGTGATGGTCATCAGTACAATGATGAGGCTATTGGTAGCAAAGCGAATTCAACATGTATTGCAGCCTATGCTCTATTTAACATATCCGTTGCCTTTATTCCTATTGCTCTAGGCTCTAGCTAGGAAATTCAACTTGGCCATGTGTTCAGGGTACTTTTTTTTATCTGTACTTTGGTGAAGTCCTCAACCTTAAGGATGAAAATGTAAAAAACCCCCCATTTTATTTTACCCCATAAGGCACTGGACATGGTTTTTGTCAGACGATCATGCCTCTCGAGATCTTTTTTGCTAAACCCTAATTTGATTTTTAAACCCCTCTTGATCAAGTATTGAATGATGGAATGGTCGACAATGTTGCTTTGCGGATGCCATCGCTCATAACAAACGGAGATGAGTCAGAGAAGCTGTTTTTGTCTCCTTGGAAGAAAGCAGAGCCCGGATTACCTGGCCCTTTACGATTTTCATTTTTTCTGGTCCAGTGATTGATTCTTTTTTTTTTTTTTTTTTTTTTTTTTGGGTTATCGTGCTGATTTGAGTCAAGTCATGCCCGTGCTTGACGGAGATTCTTAGACCATTTGGGTTTCGTGTTTAGGTCCCACCCAACAGTCAATAATTAGACTGGCTTTTTTTTCTTTAATCAAATCATCTTAAGCTTGTAATTACGAAACATTCGTTAATCACACTAATTATTATGTACCAACAGACCATTGCCATTTCATTTCTGTCTTCAAAATTGCCTATTTCTTTCTTCCACTGACGTCAAGTCAAGAGGAGCTGAAACTTTCTTAATGCTCTGACTCTGGATAAAAGAGGACGGGACTGCACTGGACTGTACCCTGGTAATTGCCCGCTTTGGATATTCACGAGGAAGCTGACAAAGAACCAGTTTCTTTGAGACTCCCTCTTATTTTTTTGCCCCAATAAGGCCGAATTACATTTTCCTACCCTAGGTTTGGTCAAAACACAATGTTTTACCTTTTTTAAGAAACTACAAAGTTTCACCCATCGGTTAATGATTTTTGGCATTTGATAGTGGTCCAAAAGACAATGCATTGAATTTTTAGAACTTAAGGTTTCAAATGATATATTCAATGTCTAATTTATCCTTTTTCCAAGACAATTTCTAGCATTTGACAATGGTTTAATCAGTTTATTTGATAGTAGTAGAACTTAAATTTTTTTAGAATTTAAGGTTTGATGGACATGTTCAATGTCTATATTATCCTTTTCCCGCTAGTTTTAATGTTTGACTTCCAATTTTGGTAAAATTTTGTTAGTTTCTCAAATAAGGGATGGAAACTATCTCTAGATGGCCGAGTGGTTCGATAGAAACTCTTGAGTATATTACTCAAGAGGTCTTGAGTTTGAAACCCTTCTCGGTTGCTAATAGGGATAGTCATTGGAACTCTTACCTAGCCGATAATTTCAGGGTCTCGGAGAATTAGTTGAGGTACACATAAGTTGACCTTGACACCTTCGATCATAAAAATAAAAAATAAATAAAAAAATGGTGGTGGAACAATCTTTTTTCCAAAGTTAGGGTAGGAAAATGTAATTTAGCCTTCAAATAAAAGTAACAAGATAAAAATGAAATGTTCCATGCTTTACTAAAAATTCTCAATCTGCCAGATGGGGGTTGGTCTATTAAACCAGTAATTTAAACGTTGACATTAATTATGTTTAGGCATTAATTTGGATTAGAGATAATTAAATGGTTAACATGGTTTAATTAATTAATGCCACTTATCTCAAAAGATTAGATCGGGATGGTAAATGGTAATCATTCAAAAGCCATGATTATCGGATTTGGTCCTACACAATTTCACTTTTTTTTCCCCTTTCTCTTTCATTTTACTTTCTTTTTGTAAATAGAAGAACTAAGCAAAACCATTACGCAAATCACTTTGTTAAATCATGGATGTAATTATAACATAAGGGGTGTATTCCTCCTTGCCTACTCTGATTAAGACTAATAAAATGAAACTAACACGTTAAAATCGATTATGTTATAGTAAATTAAGGAAGATCCATGCCTTAAAAATAACGAAAGTTTTTATCATTTTGTTTATTTGTACATGATTAACTCATAGTAATTAATATAGATCACATGTCACCTTGACCTTAATATCATTTAACATATATTATTATGGTGTCAAGAACCATGTCAGAGAGCTCTTATGGGCATCTAATTGGCATTTATAAGCAATCAATGAATCAAATAGTAGCTAGGCCTAACTTCTAAGCAGTAAGCTGGTCCAGACATCCCCGATCATTAAAAAAAAGAAAGTTTTTTGCTTCAATCACCTTGTATTTGTATTAATATTTTTAGATTTAATCTCATTCGTTTGTTTTTTTTCTCCATATTTTATATTATATTATTTTAAACTTATCCCCTCTAAAATTAATTTCTGGATCTCCCCGTGAGTTTATAATGTGAATTTTAGAAATGTTTAAAGATATTTAAGGGTTAAATATGTTATTTCACTGTTCTAAATAATAGAAAAGAGGTAAGAGTTATTTAGAGGGTAGCATAATTAATGTCAATGTCATGTTGATGTTTGGAAGAAGGATCTTTGGATGCCATGAGAAAGAAACAAGAGAACCTTCTCCATAATTAATAATGAAAGAAAGAGTGGGAATAGGCTGTGCTTTAATAAACTTTAATGTAGACAATAATAATAATAATGTCGTGGTTGTTCGCTATGATGGTGGGTTCTTTCTTCTTTGTACACTGAAATAAAGGTGCAACATACCGTACGACACAAGAACATCAAATATTTAAGCTACAAAACTAGTTAGGTACCATCCCATTCCAATTCTAATTCTAATTCTAATTCCACATACACATACACTTACTCTACGTCTTTATAGTTCTGGGGCTCATAACCTAACTCATATTTATCATCCAATACAGGTGACTATTTCATAAAGAGTTAACGACTTTTTCTGTTTCATAAACTAGTTAGGTATCGTTGGAATACCATTTTACAGCCTAAATTTATATTTCGATGGCGAACAGAGAACAAACTTGGTCTAGACTGTTGAGACTTTTGAAGAGGGGAGGCCGATGAGTCTTTTAGTGGTGGAAGGTTGGATTTTGGTGGTTGAGATTGATCAGAATTTGACTTGGGAGTGGCGGCTGTGAAAACCTTAATCGATCTATTGCTGACGATTGGCAGGGTCAACGGGAGTAGAGTTTAAGAGGTTTTGGTGAGTGATGATCAAAGAAGAGAATGGTGATGGTGTGGAGTCGCAACGATGCTGGAGTAGAAACATAATATAAATTTGGATAGTAAAGTAGTATTTTAAAAGTTTGTGGGTGGGAAAGTGTGATTTAGCCATTATTTGGGTGTGAAAAAATCTTTACTCTTTCATAAATGGGGTAGATGGTAATTTTCTATAATTTATAATTAAAGTGTTAAACTAATAGTAAATTAGTTAATCTAGGAGAAATCTGGAGTGGTAACTGGAGCTTCTGTAATCATGCTCAGAGAAACAAGTCAAAACAAAACCTTAATATTATTATTAAATATGTTAAATGGCTTTTTAGACATTTCACTGACACTAATCCACCAATATTTCATGCAAAATTACAAATCAATGTAAAACAAATTCCGCAATTATTAAATTAGTAATGTTTGTTTGGATTTGACATATTTAGGTTTCACAAGGAATATGCTTTTTCAGGACATAAAATAGGTTTAAATAATATTCTACTCAGCCCACGACGTCGTGTTACTGCATTTGATTTTTCACAAACTATAAATGCACAGGCTATGTATATATAGGTTTACACGCTCAACCATAATAAAAACAAAGGACACAAATCTCAGTGACAACTTTGGTTCTTTCTTTCCATATCTAAACAAACGGCGTCGCGTCAACTTCGCACACTTAAAGTAAAACAAATGAACCCAAACATTTTACATGCACCTACCTATTGCCTAAATGATTTTAAATAAAGTCCTGTTACTTTATTCGTTGTGCGTCGTTATCAGAATCAAAATTTTGATAACAATTTTAATCCAAAGTCTAAAGACACCATAAACTGCTCTTAATTCAATCGTAAACGCAACTTAAAACAATTATTAATTGTATTAAAAGATTCAATAATTGCGAAATTAACTGCATTCGTCCTGAATGATAATAGTAAATTAGTAATTAAAAATTGAAACTGTGCCAGCACACCAGTTTTTTTCACTTTAACAAGTCACCTTCTTAATGTAAAGCTTTCAAGTTAGGCACCTTCCCAATTTAAGTTTGAGTTTGACAATTAGTGCATGGCTTAATCTCTGATTAATCACCAATCTTATTCAACACATGTAACTATATAATATGTCTAAGATAATCTTTCTAGATTATATTTTGACTTGACTGAAATAAAGCTACTTAAATCTTTAATGAAAATTTAATTATTTCTTTCATAAATATCTGAGATTCATATTGGAAAAATACTTACTTTCTAAATGCACTTTGGAAAATAAAGGATATATCAAATATGTTTTGTAGAAAATGAGCGAAATATCTTTAAAAACGGTTTTCGGATATATCGGTTTTTTTTTGTTTCATTTTTAAACCGGATAAATAGCATGGAAATTGAAATTTGTAGAAAAAAACAATTATCCTTTCAACAAAATAAAAAAAAAATTATAATTTACTCAATAAAGCTAAAAAGCACAAGGCGCCGAAGATCTTACCTGATAAAACAAGGTGGAGGCAGACGTGACATCGTGAGAGAGTGACACGTGTGCGTAAGCAGGGTAGCATGGTACTAGTACATACACCACTTGCCCGCGCAGAGCCCCTGTTCTGTGTCAGTCTATCGGTATTTGAAAGTTCAAAAAAAGAAAGCCCCACACCCACACCCACACCCCCGCACACACACTATCACTCTTTCTCTCTCTTTCTCAGAGTTTCTCTCACACCAAACACATTTTCCATTTTTTATCTCGGCTCTAACTGCCAACGAAACTCCTCTCTTCTCAAGCTTCACTGCTGCTTTCCTTCTCTCTCCGTCTTGCAGAGCTCATTAAAGTCTATTGCAAACTGACTTTACTCTCTGTTGTTCAAGATCTGAAAATAGAGAGTTTGAATTTGTGATTTTTAGCAAATTAGCTGAAAATAATTATGTAGGTCTTGGTTTCCTTGGATCTTTCTTGTCTCTTTATCGCCTGATTTTGTTTTTGCGGGATTTCCGATCTGGTTGTCTTCTACATTACGTGTTCTTTTCTGAAAAATAAAACAAAATAATTGTTTTCTCATTGTTTCTGAATGAGTGAAAATGGAGCCATTTCAGCGAAGGAGGTCCAAGATTACGAGCTTAACCGGTGATCTACTTGGTTCGACGGAACCTGCATTCCGCGAAGGTCAGTTCTTTTTCCTTTTTTTCAAATTCTCAGTTTGTTTGTCGAGAAAATCGAGGAAAAAGAGGCACGTCATTTTGACATACTTGTCTTTTTGGCTTGTGAGAAAACGACATCTGTCGAGTTGACAAGTTGTATTTGGGTAGGGAGGTTTTAAATTTCAGTTTCTTTGAAGTTTCTTCTTTTTATTGCATTCTCTTGGCAACCAAACAGAGCAATTTCCTCTACTGGTCTTTTTAGCAGCCAGAATAAAAGGAGAAAAAAATGTAAGTTCAAATGCAAAATGTTCGATGACGACTTTTGCGGAGGCTTTTGTAAAATTTTGGTCTGAGATACTGAAAATCCTATAAATTATTGTTTCAAGTTCTTTCTTGAATTTGCTTTGTAACCAAACAGATTTTATTTATTTATTTTCTTCCTTTTTTCTTAAAGTTTGTGCAATGTGGAGGTCAACAGCTAAGCTCGTGTTCTGGTTTTGCTTTGCTTTTGTTAAAGCGTGTTGTTTGACAGCTTCTTAACTCTTTAGTAGTGGTATCAGCATGATTTGGTTGCTTTGTTTTAGAAATTCTAGGGTTATGATGAGATATAATTGCAGTCTGGACCGCTGTTTCTGTTGATTTTTATTTTCTGCATAATATTTTAGAGTAAAGCTTGATGAAAAGTTTTTGTTTTATCTTTAATTAGCTTTACGAACAATTACTGCAATTGATTATTTCTGTTATTGCTGAATAAATTTAGATTTATTTTTGGGAAACATAATTGACTCGTCTATCTTTTTTATTTACTCCAGGAAAGAGACAGCCCCAGAAACCGATTTTTTTTCCAAAATTGGCCTCTGATTCTAGTTCATGCAGTAGTGATACAGAAGATGATTCGGTGCGCCGATTTCCTTTTTCTTATTTTTTATTTTTTATTTTCTCAAATAAGTGTTTTGATACATATGTAGTTAAGAGATAAGCAGTTCTGCTGCTTCTTTCGTATCAGAGTTTCGTTTTATTTACTTTAAATGTTATTGGATTCATGGTATTAAACCTAAGCATTTTTACCTTGTAGCTGACATTTGAGGTGGGTTGGAGATCTTCAAAACAAACCAGAAGACCAATTAAGAAGTTGTTAGCAGAAGAGATGTCAAGAGAAACTCAATCCAAGAGAAGATCACCTAGTGTAATTGCTAGATTGATGGGTCTCGATGGTCTTCCTCCTCAGCAGTCTACTCATAAACAACAGAAAAGGTCCATGGAGAATTATCAAATGAGGACAGCATCAGTAGAAAGGGCTCAGAGGAGTGGGACATCTTCTGGCCGCTTATCTTTTAGGAAAAGCTCAAAGGAAGAGCAAGAATTCAAGGATGTGTTTGAAGTTTTAGATGCATCAAAGATGGAGAGTAGCAATAACTCATTGCCAGAGACTTCAAAGACAAAGTTTACTGAGGCTGAGATGGTTTTTATTAAGCAGAAGTTCATGGACGTGAAGCGTCTTTCAACTGATGAAAGGCTTCAGGATTCAAAGGAATTCCATGATGCACTTGAGGTGCTAGACAACAACAAGGATCTTCTGCTGAAATTTCTTCAGCAACCTGATTCATTGTTCACAAAGCATATGCATGATCTAGGTGCCCCTCCCCAGTCCCATTGTGGTCATATGTCAACAGTGACATTATCTCATGCTTGGAATTGTGAAAGCAGTGGCATAAGTGGGAAAGCAGAAAGAGAAACTCCATGGAAGAGTAATTGCAAATCTACTCAGAAACATCTCGATGGTGTTCCTAGTCACACTTATGGTAGAAATAGTGCTCAGAGTTTCAATAAGTCTGCAAAAGTTCAATTGGCAGTGAAAGAAGACCCAGCTGTCTTTCCTACAAGGATTGTTGTTCTAAAACCAAATCTTGGAAAGCCACAGGCTGCCATCAGAACTGTTTCATCACCTCCTCATTCTTGTCCGTTAGATTTTAGAAAGCATGCAGAATTTCCAGGCACCAAAAATATGGAGGCAGAGTCATGGGCGAAGAGAAATATTAATGATGATGTAGGATTTTCGAGACATAATTCTAAAGAATCAAGAGAAATCGCCAAGGAAATCACTAGGAAGATGAGAAATAGTTTTAGCAATGGTTCCATGAATTTTTCAACTTCCGGATTTAAAGGATATGCGGGGGATGAGAGTTCAAGTAACATGTCTGGAAGTGAGTCTGCAAATGAGTCAGAGTTTAAAACAGTGACTTCCAGAGATGAGTTTAAGAGGCATAACAGATTCAGGTCTACATCTTCCCGTTCAGCAGAATCATCTGTGTGTAGGGAGGCCAAGAAGAGACTCTCGGAGAGGTGGAAGATGTCCCACAAGTCTCAGGACTTGGGAGTTATTAGTAGGGGCAGCACATTGGGTGAAATGCTTGCTATTCCTGATGGGGAAGTGAGGCCTGCAAATTTGGATGCTGTGGTTGGTGAGGAAGGATTCACATTTTGCAGTGACAACAGACGAGGAAGGTTTGCTGGACCTCTGGGTATTAGCAGTAGGGATGGATGGAAGGATGATGGTGTTAGAACTTTATCAAGATCAAGATCTCTTCCAGCTTCTTCTACCTTTAGAAGTCCCAAAGCCAGCATGCGGCGTGAAACTCTTGATGATGACAGGTATATGATGTCAAAAGAGACTGTGAAGCGGGAAAGAAACAAGGCAGGGAAGGGAAATTTAAATCAGAAAGATGGTTCATCTGGTAGAACATCAAGATCAAGCAGTAAGAAATCTTCACTCTGCACAAGTAGGGAGAGTTATGATAGCTCACCGGATATTTCTTTCAGCCATCATCAATTTGACTGCCATTTCAAACAGGTTCACCCATCTGAAGAAAGTTTTATGGTTTCAGAGACATATGAGAGTATTGTTACCGATACAAATTCAGTTCCTGAAAATGTGTTGGATGTGGGACATGAGAACACAAACATTTCTTCATCTGAATCTCCAAATTCAGAATTATCAGCTCCTCCTTTGTTGTTAAAGGGCAATTCATCTGCTGTTGACTTGGATGTTTTAAGTTCAAAGGTTAAAATTTCAACCAACCTGAATCATCTTTATGTTAAACAAAGCTTAACCTGTAAATAATTGATATATAGTAGTTGTAGACTATACCTTTTCAAATCTCATAATTCATTTAGAGTAATACTAGCCTTACAAAGAGGCATACAAAGAAGCATACAAAGGGACAAATCTAGCCCTTAAAAGAAGGGAAAAGAGAGAGAGAGAGGGAGGCAATCATGAATTTTAAGGGTTGGATTTGTTTCTTTGTATGCCTCTTTGTAAGGCTAGTATTACTCATTCATAATAACTGATTTGAAGCTTGAATCTCTTCTATATTCACACATATCATGTCTCACCATAAATTTTTAAACTGCATTTTGATTTTATGTGAGCAATTTCTAATAAACCTTTAGTTGTGCCCATCTCTCTTTCTGCTCATTGAATAGGATTGTGGTCAGTTCTAGTCCTTAGAAATGCAGATTTGTAGATCAATGATTAACCCTGAAGTTTCTATCTTTAGTTTTCTCATATTATAATGTAAATTAATAAGGAAAATTTTCCCGATGTTTGGAAAGTATGAACATACAGCGTATGTATTTGGATACTTACTCAAATTTTATATCTTTATGTATCCGTTTTTTTGCTCATTGTTAGAAGTTTAAATTTTTCCTTGGAGAAATCTTCGACTTAAATTTTGTGTGAGGTACCTTTTAATTATATTCTTTCTTGATATTCCAGGAACCATCTGATGCACCATCTAAAGAAGTCCCTTTGCATCACCCTATATCTGGAGTAGATTCTCCAGCAAGCTCTAGGGAGGCTGATCAGCCCAGTCCAGTTTCAATTCTAGAAGCTCCTTTTGCAGATGATTTGTCATGCGGTTCTGAATACTTTGGGGGTGTCAGTGCCGATCTCCATGGTAACATCAAAAGTTCTTTAGTAGGTTATGCTTTGAAGTGGGGTTTTCACTCGTCTTAATATGGAAACCATGACATTTTAATTTCCACATTCTTATACAATTAAAATTTGATTTAGATTGTCATTATTTGGAAAGGATAATTAGCCACTTATTACTAGATTTTATCAGCTGATTATTCAACTTCAATGCTGTCACTCCCTTCCCTGTTAATTGTAATGTTGTCTTCTGTTATCATTTTGCATGTATTTTTTAATTTATTTTCATTAGTCAGGATCAGAACCCTTGATGAGGTTGATCAGGCTTCTTGAGATATGCAACTGATATCAAATGCGATTTGTAAGATTTATTTATATAGAGTGAATTGATAAGAAAATAGTATCATATAGTCTGACTTTATAACTACATTCAAGTTGATAAATGTGATACTAAAACAACAGAAATAATCAACAATTAAAGCGGCAAGAAATCTATGTGCATATTTATTAAAATTCAGAAGATTAAAATAACTTTTTGTTTTGACGAAAGATCTTAATTTGCGGTTATTACTATTGAAAATGCTCATCGAATTGGTTTTAGATTGCTTTTTGATTGAGTGTCAATCAGTCTTGCTCTATTAGTTAAAACTTTCCAGTGTGTGTGTGTGTATATATATATATATATAAAGAAAAAGAAAAAACAGTGTAACTTTAAGTAGTAACAATAGCTTCTGGAGATGAGGAAATAGAAAGGTTATATGATTTATTTTAAATGGTATGACTTGATTCTGAGGTCTTAAAATAAGAGTGTTTTGATTCTTGAGGTTTTAGGAATTAATGTTATTTCTTTCATAGTTTAATTTATTTGATTTTCTATGAAAGTGTACTTTCTGATGTGGTTGATTTACTTTCTTAATGGGCATATGTGAGTTGATATGCTGTCCTATTAAGTGTTTACTCCATTACTTGTTTAGTTGTTTTGGTCACTGTAAATAGAGGCCTAAGTTACTATCTTTGGCATATCTAGATGAATTGATTGTTGACAGTAAGAATTGGCTTCTTCCCAATTTATGTTTTTATTTTCCTCCCAATTCTACCATATTTTCTCGTCCTTGACTTCAACACATTTTTTTGCATTATCTGTTGCTAGGGCTTCGGATGCAACTTCAACTACTCAAGTTGGAGTCAGACGGATATGACGAGGGACCTATGCTTGTTTCAAGCGATGAAGATGCAGAGGAAAGACTTGTTCAGATTATGGATGAGAAGAGCATAATAAAAGCTGAAGAGAATTGGGAGTCTTCTTATGTAGCTGATGTCTTACTCGAGTCCGGATTAAACAATGTCAACTCCAACACATTCATTGCAGCATGTCACTCTCCAGAATGCCCTGTGAGTCCATCAGTATTTGAAGAACTTGAAAAAAAGTACGGCAGTCTAACCTGTTGGACTAAGTCAGAAAGGAAGCTAATGTTCGACTGCATAAATGCAAAACTCATGGAAGTTCACCAGCAATGTACAGATCCACGCTCATGGATGAAGCTTAAATGGAAGAAAACTGAGCTCCAGGAAAGGCTGCACAAGTTGGTGTCGAACCAACATAAGAAAGTTAACAAGGATGCCGGGGAGAACGTGCTGGCAAGAGAATCGCAGTGGCTGAATATTGGTGAGGATATTGATGTAATCGGTAGGGAAATTGAGAGGGTGTTGATAGATGAACTAGTAGGAGAGGTAGTAACCATGTAAACATATGCCTGTTTTTGTTCTAGGAAGTTACATATACACAAATGAAGTGATGGAATTATCATTTCTTGGAATATGAATAAAATGGTTCGATATCTTTACACCATAAAGTATATTCATAAAACCAACATATTACTATAAAGTGCATGTATATTTATTTGAAAGTTTTCGACTGTATTTTAGTTTAATAAACATGCAATTTCATCTTTCCATGTTCGCTGCAAACCTAGTACATCTTATTAGCTTTAATGCTCAGGAGCCATTTTGAGAAACATGGCCAAGAGAAAAGGCGTTTATATATTACATTGTTGAACCAGAAAAATATGAAGAATCGGAAGAAACAAGAGGCCTCGGCGGTGGTCTACAGTCTACTAGGCTGAGGCGGAGGTGGAGGTGGAGTTATTTCGTATTGTGGTAGCCACTGACTTGGTCCGGATGAAGTGACAGAAACGCTCTTGCGAATTGGTGGTGTATGTAGAGGTAGTGGAGAAAAAGGGACTGCCCCTGGAGGTGGTGGAGAAAAAGGATGTGTAGGCCCAGTCGAAATCTCAACGTTCATCTCAAGTTTTCTGGCATTAGATGGTTGAAAGGCAAAGCCTGAAGCTGGTGTGGGCACAATGCCAATAAAAAGCAGCTTTTCTTTAGCTTCTCCCATTATTTTTGCAGCCCCAGTTCAGCTGTTTAAATATGATCTGGATTTCCATACAAGGAAATAATTCAAACTTCATATGGGATTATATTTGGTGCTTACTTGAGTAGTAAATTAAATTTCTTTATAGGCTTTAATTATAATATTACTTAGTGGATTAGCACAAACCTATGTAATAAATCATTTTCAGTCATCATCACTGTACCTGCCAAAATTAGTTGATTTACTCAACAACTTACCATAGTTTTATTAAGGAGTTAACAACTTTTTCCCACCCAAATAATGGCTTAATGATATTTTCTACCAACATATTTTTAAAATATCATTTTATTACCCAAATTTATATTTCAACGACGAATATATAGCAAACTCAGTCCAGAATGTTGGAGCTTTTGAAGAGGGAATACTGATGAGTCTTTTGGTGGTAGAAAGTTAGATTTTGTTGGTTAGGATTGATCAAAATTTGACTTGGGTGGGGCAGTTGTGCAAATCCTAATCGCTCAATTGCTGACGATTGGTAGGGTTGGTATGAGTAGGGTTTGAGGGGTTTTAGTGAGTGATGATTGAGGAAGAGAAGAGTGGTAGTGTGGGGTCGCAACAATGCCAGATTCAGAAACGGAATATAAATTTGGATAATAAAGGCTTCGTTTGGCACATTATTTCTACCTATATTCTCAATCTTATTCCCAAAATATTGTTTGTTTTGTTATTTGAGAAACATTAGTATATGTTTTTAATTACTTTTAGACCCCTTAAGTTTATTAATTTCATAAATACCCAAAAATTTAAAAATTAACAAAGACACCCCCACCAATCCATACTTGCCAGATTTCGGCAACCATCGTCGATGGTAGCCGGAATCTGTCACAACGGCCTACAAAAGACAGGGACTGGTCGATAATTCACCGATCTGGCCATCAGCAACGGCTAAAGAAATGGCCGTCGTTGACGGTCAACGACGACCAAATCTTGGCCATCGTTGACCGACAACGACGACCATATCTTTGGTCGTCGTTGACAGCTAGATCTGGACTTTTCCAGCCGTCGACGGCCAGATTTGGTTGTAGATTTGGCTTTTTCCGACCAAATCCGTGGTGGATCTGGCCGGAAAAGGCCATATCAATGTCCTACTCGTCAGATCTGACTGGTTTGCGTCGTAATGCCATTTTTCGACGGTGGTGGCCGGAATCTAGCACTGTGGGTGGGTGGGGGTGTTTTTGTCATTTTATAAAATTTTTATATATTGGGGTGTTGAGTTAAATTAGCAAACCTAAGGGGTTTTTTTAATAAATTTTTAAATTTTACCTCGTAATACTCCCCTATTCAACTACCCAATATTATTTTCAAAATCCTATCCAAAATAATAAAACAAACGGATCCAAAGTTTATTTTAAAAGTATGTAGGTGAGAAATTATAATTAAACCATTATTTGGATTGGAAAAAGTTCTTTACTCTTTTATCAAGTCATTATATGGTAAATGCTCTTTTATGTTTTGCATAGATAGATGACATGCCGTTTTTCTGATAACGGACATATCCTTTTTATCAAACTACATCGTTTTCCAAATAGACGACTTGTCGTACATTTGCTTAATATTTAGTAACCCCCTGAGTGTTCAGAGTCTCAATCGCCCCCTATATGTCTTCATCTGAAATTCTGAATTAACTTAAGTGATATTTACCCTGAAGTTTTCTGAACGATACGGCGTCCTTTTTCACGAAAACGACTTGTCGTACCTTCTATGACGAATATAAATAATCACTCCTCTGGTGGATGTATAAAATATCGGATCAGGCCCTAATCAATATTGCTAACTCAGTGGATTAGAGTGATATTTGCCCTGAACTTTTAACTGTATTCATATATACGATCTCTCGGTATATAAGAAAACGACTTGTCGTACCTTCAATGACGAATATATCGTCTACGTTTTCCCACTCCAAAGGACAAGAGCGAAAGGCCGAATTCTTATTTAGAAGACTATGTAAAAGCTGAATTTAGATCAATAAAAATCCTTTTGAGATACGGATGCTGGCAACTCATAAATAATGCTTCAGAAGCTAAAATTTTTATATAATTTATAAATCAGTTTTTTTGATGAACAGAAAAACAAAGAGGGAGAGAAAGCAATAAATCAGTTTATGGCGACACTCCTTCATTACTGCGAATCTTTATTTAAAACAAGAGTCAGAAAATGTATTCCATTTCACCCAAAATTTTAAAATCATAAAAGTAATAGCAAAAATAATTGCAACCCATTTATTAAAATCTCAAATCTGTATTTATATCTCACTACAAATCACCCAACTTACCACAATCAAACTATAGGCGGTAACTGTGTAGAACCTCACCGTCTTGAACTGAAGCATGATGATCTCCAATTGGTGAAGGAACTGGTGTCTTTGGTAGAATTCAAAAATTCATAAGCAGATTTCTGGCATTCTTTGTGCTAATGGCGAAACCTGAAACCAATGCAAACACAAAGGTGACCAGTAGCAGCTTCTTCGAACAAACTTCTTCTATTTCTTTTAAGCTCCTCTTCGTTGGTTGATGAAATTCCTGCAGCTCTAGTTAGATCAATTTTTTTGCTTTGTATTTTTCCTATTATGTGCATGGCCTTTACTGCTTTCTTATCAATTATTCATTTCAAATGTTCATGCCAAAGAAGAAAATGTGATTTATTTAGAATATAGGTTAAATGTATTCTACATTAGCGTTAATTCGAATCAATCCAGCAGTCACTATTTTTTTTTTTTTAATTTTTTTTATAACATAAGAGAAATATTGCAACTCATTTATATATACTAATATTAGAAACATTTATTCTGAAAGAGATTGCTGCTGGGCCAAGCCTTTGAATTTCTAGAAGAAAAGGCACCTGCAGCATGCCCAATAAGAACCACATGATATAGAAAGAGACTGCATCTTCTGTTTATGAATAATTCCAACAATCTGAAGAAGAAGAAGAAGCTCAATTAACGTTATCCTTGCTGCGACTTGGGTAGCTCTCCGTAAAAGGAAGAAGGTTTTGGGCTGACAGCTGCTTGATTTTGAATTGGAATATGAGAATTTATTTTTGGACTGGGAGCTGACGGAGGAACAAGATAGTATTTTGGTAGCATCAAAAAATTCATCTCAAGTTTTCTGGCATTAGTTTGAGCCAAAGCTACTGCAAAAACTAGGGCTACAAAAAGAAAAAGCTGTTTCTCACTGGTTTCTCCCATTTTTCTCAATCTTAATTTTGTTTTGTTTTTGGTGCTTTAAATATAATTTCTCCATCAATTTCAACTCAATGTAAAAGGCGATTATACCACTTCTTTAATTAAGGAATCAGTAATAAGATACCATCAATAATTCTAAATTTAATTCAATTATTTCTTGAATTAAGAAAAAAAAATATATCTCTAGTTTCCTCAAATATGATCTATTTAATATTATTGGTTCCCTCATCAACTCTTTATACTTTCCATAATTAATCCTTTTATAATAAGTTTTTATATATAAATATTTATTAATATCTGAGTTTTATATCCTTCTCTTCACGTAATTGCTTATTTATTTGTGATGATACTTTTGTCATTGCCTAGTCAGACTTTCAATTACCCTTAATTGGGTTCATCAATTATTAAAAGTTAAGTAATACTATAAGTAGTGTTTCAAAAGTTTTAGTTTTAAGTAATGTAAGATTTATAAGTAGTGTTTCAAAACTATCTTTGGATGGTTGAGTGGTTCAATAGAGACTCTTAAATGTATTATTAAAAAAGTCATGAGTTTTAATCTCTCCTCGGTTGCTAATAGGGGTAGCCACTAGAGCTCTTATTCGACCTGTAGTTTTAGAATCTTGGGGAATTAGTTAAGGTGCACGTAAATTGACCCAAACACCTCTTGTCATCATAAAAGGAAATGATCTCTCTCTCTCTCTCTCTCTCTCTCTTTTATATATATATATATATATATAAGGTTGTCAAGTCACTTCCTTATAAAAATGTTATATAAAAGTGTTGTACGGTCAATTCGGAGAGGATAATTCCTTATTAGGAGAGAAGAAATTTAGATTAGCTCAATTTGGAAGGAAGATATTAAGATTGACTTAGATTCCAATTAAAGTAGTCGAAGATCATGCAACTTCCTAATCCTACGTATTTGAATCTTATCTCAACTCTATCATGTAAATGAGTGCTATATAAACCCATCATAACTTGTTTTCAGGGGGGGTTGGACAATTGTTCAAAACAAATTTTCCTAGGAATTATACTGTTGTTTGTAAGGTCTCAAAAACAATAAGATAACAATGGACGTAGACTCAAGTTCTAACTTACCGAACTACTTTAAAAATCTCTCTGCCATTTACT